TTGTGGTTTGGGTTTTTGGTAGACTAGATATCATAGACAGGTTGTTAGAATGTTTAGGAGTTGAAATAAGTTGGAATGGAAGTGAGAGTTGGAGCATAGGATTTTTTTTTTCCAAAAAAGTAAAACCTTTCGGAAGGTTTGGTTATTAACCTTTCAGAAGGATTTTTTCTAATGCATTAACCTTCCGAAAGGTTTTGCACATTAAAAACTAAAAATGAGGGTTTTAAGTTATTTTTTCTGTCTAACTGTTCATTTGCCCTCTTCCATCCGACTTCCCAAGCATCTCTTTTTCCCTCAAAGCTTCTCTAATCTCCTCTAAACTCCATAGAACTCTCAACCACCACCCGCATCTTCCATATTTTACTACTAGGGTTTTATTACTGAATTTTTGTCAAAATTTGTAGATTGCTCAGTAATCCCTAGTTTTTTTTTCCCTAATTTCCATTTCTCTCATTTTCTCTCCAAGGTTTTGATTCCATTGGAATGGCTCGGCTAGAAAGGATGCCCCTTGACGTCTTTGAGGCCGTGAAGCAATTTTTGATGTTGTTTTTGTCATTTTTGGGTGTTGGGGCACTATTGATTTTCATGGCTCGAACCAAACGGACGGGTTCGGGTTCCCCACAACTCACGGGCACTAGTTCCTGCAAGAGGAACATAGAAGGCCCTAGTAGCGAAGATAGGGGAGAGAGGCCAAAAGCAAGAAATAATGCTCAGAATCAAAGGATTGAGGAGAAAAATGTCACTTGTGAGCAGGTTGTGGATAGGCCCACTCATGGGCCGAATAACGAAGTGGCAAGGATCATAGAAGGTCATGGGCTTGGGATTTGGTTTGAGCTGGTTAGAAGGTATAACCTGACATTGTGTAGGGAGTTCTATAGGAAGTTGAATGTGGTGGATGAGGATGATTGTATTCTTAGGATTAATGTGAGGGGGAAGACGTTTGACGTGACCCCGGATTTGATTACCACCTTGATGAAATACTAGAGGTCTCCCCCTAATACTCTGATCTACCCGCACAATATCCAAGGGAGAAAAACAATCTCTGAGTACGTACAGCTTACCTATGAAGACCCAACCCAATTCAAAGGGACAACTATAGTCAGGGGCCTCAAGCACTCCTACGGGATAATGAACAAGATCCTACACTACAATCTAAGCCCTCGGTGTGTAGAGAAGAACCCTAATGTGGAGAAGCTTGCCCTTCTCCATGAATTCATGACTGGGAAGAGAATGGATGTGGCTCTACTAATCTAGGAGTTCGCTCAAGCTGCAAAGCTAAAGGCGAATCTCCCTTTCACCAATCTTGTCACTAGGATGTGCTCCCATAACAAGGTCAAGGCCTATGCACATGATGTGCTGCTGCCCCTTGAGGTTGGCGCTATTGGGAAATCGAGTATCACTAAGAGGGCAGCAAGGACTAGGGGTGACAGAGCTAGAGCCTTGGGACCTGAGCCATCCTCTGCTGGGCCATCTACTTCTGGGCCTTCTACCTCTGCCCTAGTTTGTACTATGTCATAGCGCTTGGACACCTTGGAGAGGATGATGCATGGGCTTTCACTGATGGTGACGTGGATCTTGAGCACACCTTTCCAGGCAAGTCAATCCCCGATGGACCTCCACCTCCTCTGGCCGGACCCTCTACCTTTACACCTATGGCTTCTACTATCGTCGACGTGAAGGGTTTCGACGATGACGACTTAGATGATGACGAGGAGGAGAATGATGATGAGAGTGCAGAGGAGATGGACAAGGATAACGAGTAGTTATGTCGTCGTGTTGTTTGTTGTTTCTTTTTATTTTAGTTGTATATATCGCACAGTTAGGATTAGAATGATCGACCTAGTAGAAGTGTCTCTAGGATTTGGGCCATTTTATTTTTGAATTCTAAATCCTTGTACTGAAATTTTGAATGTAATTAATGAAAAGTACCATAGTTGTTAGTTTTATCTTGCCCAAGTCTATTTCTTTAATTGCATTGTGGTTTTTGCATTTTGATTGTTTGGCAATATATGTGCGTAAATGGATTGTTGTAGTTTTACACTTTGCGATTTGAAAATAAAGTTTGCTAGGGACTAGCAGAACTCAAGTTGGGGGTGTGATTAGCACAAAATATTGCACATCATGTATGCTTTTATACCTTTTTATACCTGCTTTTTGTGGTGAAAATGGGAAGAAATGCAGTTAATCAAACAATTAATGAAGTTGTTGTGTGATTGTAGGTAAAGAGTTGGATATGACTTGAGTTAAGCCCCCATTGTAGTGCTCAAAGTCAATGAAGATGGGGGTGGCTTAACGGCTTGGAAGGTGAAGAAATCAAGAAAAAGGCAAATCGGGAGAAAACCTTCCATGAAGAGTGTGTGTAATTAGGAAATAAAATAAAAATAGTAAAGTTGTTTATCTTAGATATGTCAGCATGTGATAGCTTGTGATGTGAACTTAGATTGTTAACTAATTTAATTAAAAAGTTATGTTGCAAATAGATTTAGACAATAATAAAAAGTATCATTCAGTTCAAGGATCTCATATGTGTTATATTGGTTAAATACTGGAAATGCTACCTTACAGCAATCAACTTCCATGTTACTGGAAAGTCAACTGGTAGGTCTGATGTATATAAACCATCACACAACAACTTCTTAGGTTAGCTAGTGGTATCCAGGACAATTGATTAATCCAAGCAAACCAGAAGAATAAGCCATTCATGAGGAATACTCGAATTATTCATTTGTCTTCATAATAGTAAGTGCATACATAATAAACCATAACACAATCACTTCTTAGGTTAACTGGTGGTATTAGTCATAATACAACAACTTCTTAGGTTAGATGGTTATAGATATGTCAATTGATTAATTCAAGAAAATCAGAAGGACAAGTCATTCATGCGGAATACTTGAATTATTCAGCTGACTCTATCTGTGATACATATACCAGTTAAACATCTTCAGTGTTCTAGTGGAGGATAAACCATGCCGATACGAATACCGTGGTTGTTAAACTAACAATATTATCATTTATACCAGTTAAACGATTTGAGTAATCTAGAAGGACAAGCCATTCATGAGGATCACTTAGGTTATTCGTCTGATAGTTATATATATAATAATTAAATAAGCCTGATAATCCAGAAGGACAAGTCATTCATGAGGATCATTTAGGTTTTGTACCATGCATCAGTTAACATCCTCAGAATCCGGTGGAGGATAAACCATATCGATAGCAATGATGTGGTTTTTTAACCGACAGGTTGATGATGCACTGATGACATAATTCCAGGCACAACACCGAAATTATGTACGTCACTGTATCATGTATGAAACATATAATATATAGATATATAAATATGTAAAACATTAGCATCTCCAAAATTTAACTAATATTATACATATGTTTACCTCTCATTGGAAGATATAAGTAACTACCCACGCCCCATTGCCACAGACAAGCAAGGAACAACTACAATTAAAACTAATTCTACATTAAACTAATTCTGCATTACAACTAAAATTAAAATATAAACCCTAAAACGTCTTTCACAAGGAACAATTGAAACACAATCACCTTTATTATTAGTTATGATAAAAAAGTGAAGGCAGTTCAACTATCCAAATAGAAAGACATCACAGAAATGTAAAAGTATAGAGTTTTGGATTGAAGTGTATAATGGACCAGATCGAGTTGCAAATTTTTCTTTTTTTGTTTCTCTTTTCTCTTTCTCTTTTTCTCTCTTGGATTTCTCTCTGAACTCCCTTGGATCCGGCCTCTGAAAATGGAAATGAAGGTCCCTTTTTATAGGCATCAGGAAAGCATGAGGTGGAGAGATAGATGTGAGCCGCCTTTGGGGGACCATCCGGACGGCACTCCACCGTCTGGACGGTTGGAGCTTGCTGGATTTTCCCACTTGTATGCTGACTTCTCTTTTGTTGAAATTACACTATGGCCTTTGTTCTTTCAAGCTTTCATACTTTGCTCCTTACATTGTGTAGTAATTCTGCATTAAACCTAAAACTTTTAAACATAACACAAATAAAACCGTAATTCCCACACAAACCCTAATTGACTCTAATTAATAGTTTTTGGTTATTTTATCACACTAATTTGACTTTATTAACTATTCTAATTTATACACTAATTAAGGTTAATCAACAACTTCTAACTATTTTGACGTGAAAGTCCATTTAGTTTGGGAGACACCGAGACGTAGACACGCTCTTGCCACTTTTGGGGGTAGCATATCGGTCACATAGTCAAAAAGAAAACATCTTTGCAGCCTTTCCTAATCATTCTTCACTAAGCTCATGTATACAATTGATTCACCTATAAAGGGGGATGGGGTTCTCTGAGATGGGTGTGTTTGTGTGTGTGAGTTGAGTGTGTTTTTGGGACTATAGTATAGATAGAGAGAGGGGGTAGAATGGGACTCTATGAGAGATAGAGAGAGAGAGAGGTGTGTGAGTTGAGTGCGTTTGTGTGTGGCGTGACTGTGTTGGGCGGGAGAGAAATGAGATGGGTGTGTTTGTGTGTATATTTGAATTTCTAATCAAGAGAAATGGAAGGAGAGAGAGAGAGAGGCGTGTGAGTTGAGTGTAAGTATTATGTTTATTATACAATCATAAAAAGCTATAGAGAGAGGTAGAATGAGACTCTAGCGTTAGAAATGCAACAAAACTCTTAATTCAATTCTTGGACGCTTTGCGAATCAATTAAGATCGTTAAATTAACAATCTTAAAATGATTAGAAGTGTTCGAAATTTTTTTTAAGTTTGGAGTTTGAAACTTTTTCTACTTTATTATACACATTCTATTGTCTCCTTGTAGGTCTATATTTCTTTTGTTTTATGACAACTCTAAGTTTATAAACAAAAACATTTTGTTGTCCCGTGGTAGTGTCATTTTGTAGATATGGACCATGGAAGCCTATTGAATCCTTTCACGGTAATATTCTCTCTCTCTCTCTCTCTCTCTCTCTCTCTCTCTCTCTCCTGAAATTTGCATCACATATGTGCATGTATCGCTACTGCCGTTTTCAATTTCCCGGACAAATTACTCGCAGTATATTTTCTCAACTCAGACATTCTCTCACAACCCAAACCAGGCTCTGTTCTTCTACCAATTCAAGTCTCACAACCCCTATTTCAGACCCATTTGACAAATCCCAGGTCTCTGATCTCATATCAAAACAACACTGGTCCGACCTCAAACTCGCGAACCCTTTTCAGTTCCTCCAACAATTATTCGACTACGAAGCCGATTCTGAAGTCATTCTCACTTACTTCAAATGGTCGCAGCGTGAATTTCAGGTGTCCCATAGTATCCAACACTATTGTAAACTCTTTAATTTATTAGCAAATGCCAAAAAATATGCACAAATTAGATCTTTATTGCATGAATTTGTTAAGAATGAGACCCATTCGAATTCTTCCATTTTTCATATGCTTCCGTTATGTGGTGGTCAGTTTTGTGCTAATTCGATTATTATCGATATGTTACTATTGGCATACGTGAAGAATCTGAAGTTACATTTGGCGGTTGAGGCTTTTGAGAGGGCTGGGCCTTATGGGTTTAAGCTATCTGTTCTGTCATGTAACCCAATGTTGAGTTCTTTGGTTAAAGAAGGAAAAATTGCAGTTGTGGAAAATGTGTATAAGGAGATGATTAGGCGTAGGATTGAGCTTGATTTGATTAGTTTTAACACGGTGATTAACGGGTTCTGTAAGGCAGGGAAGTTACGGAAGGCAGGGGATGTTGTTGAGGACATGAAGGCTTGGGGGGTTTTGCCATCAGTGGTCACTTATAATACACTGATTGATGGGTACTGTAAAAAGAGTAGGGTAGGAAAGATGTACAAAGCCAATTCACTTTTGAAAGAAATGGTGGCAAACGAGATTTGTCCGAATGAGATCACTTATAACATTCTTATTGATGGGTTTTGTAAGGATGGAAATGTAGTGGCTGCTATGAGGGTGTTTAAGGAAATGCAGGGGCTGGGGTTGAACCCGAGTGTGGTCACGTATAATTCTCTGATTAGTGGGTTATTTAATGTTGGGAGAGTTGAAGAAGCTTGCAGATTAAGAGATAAAATGGTGGGACTGCATTTGAATCCTAGTATTGTTACTTATAACACCCTTATACATGGATTTTCGAAGAAGAAGATGCTGAAGGAGGCTATAGAGTTGTTTGAGGATATTTCCAATCATGGGTTGCCCCTCAATGTATTGACATTTAATACATTAATCGATGCTTATTGTAAAGCTGGGAAAATGGAAGAAGCAGTTGCTCTTTGTGATGCAATGTTGGACAGAATGGTTTGTCCCAACATTTCAACTTATAATTGTTTGCTTGGTGGTTATTATAAAGAGGGAAACATGGAGGCAGCTGGTAAGCTTCTAGATGAATTGGAGAAGAATGGCTTGAGAGCTGATCTTGCAACATACAACATTCACATTGGTGCATTATGCAAGCAAGGGGAATCAAGGAAAGCAGTTAAACTTCTGGACGAGATGTTTGAGAAGGGTTTGGTGCCCAATCAGCTGACATACAATATTCTGATGGCTGGTTATTGCAGGGAAGGAAATCTTAGGGCCGCCTTGAATGTTAGGAAACGGATGGAGAAAGATGGGAAACAGTCAAATGTGGTTACATGTAATGTGTTAATTAAGGGTTTTTGTGCGAATGGTAATCTGGAGAAAGCAAATACGTGTCTTAATGAGATGCTGGAAAAGGGCTTGGTCCCAAATCGAACAACTTATGACATCATTAGAGAAGAAATGATGGATAAGGGATTTGTTCCAGACATAGATGGGCATCTTTATAATGATTCCATAAACTCTTAAACTGGTCCAAAAAACACAGTTGATATTTAATTTTTTGTTCATGGTTATTGAGCTTGCAGAGTTGGAAATGTTGGAGCTTCTCCCACATAATAATGCCTCCTCCACTAGTATATGAGTTTTGTGAGTCTTTCAACGTTTTGCTAATTGATTTTGAGTTGCATGCTTTAAATTGGTATCAGAATTGGGCTTCAGGAAGCTTTGGGCAAGACTGTTTGTTTCAATTTTCATAGATTTGGTATTGGTTCCCCTACATTTGTGTCATGAGTGCACTTTGTTATGTCCTGATTATGCCTTCTGATTCTTTGTCTATCTTTTCATGTGTGAGTGGGGGTCGTACGTGGGAGTGTTAAGAGCATATTCGACATCAGCATTATAGTGCCTCGTAAACTAGTATCAGCCTTATGAATCTTTCCACGCCAGGTGAGAAAGGTGCCTATCACTGGACCAATCCTCTTTTGCTCAAATTTTTAAAGTTCATCTAAGCTCTATGTTTCCTTAGAAGGCCTACAAAGCAAGAGTCAGATATCTTTTGGGGCTTGCCATTTTTGACCGACTCAGGTGCATTCTATTATTGATTCTAAAATGTCCATGTAATATGGGAATTGAAGGCAGTCCTGTATAGGGGCTTTAATAACATTTGAACTTTCCTGGTTGTCTCTTTTCACTAGACTTATAGGGCAATTGGAGGAGTCGGCTGATTCTAAATATAATGTATCAGTTCTTTGGTTGTTGCTCTATTTTTGCTCTCTTACACTTTTATCTTGTTCATGGTCTTCTTTGGGTTAATTTGGAAAGCTAAATCTATCCTACATAACAAAAAGGGAAAAATAGTGGCCGACTTTTTTAATCTCTCCTTCACATGTTTGTTTGTCAGAGATGATTGTTCGTCTATCTATCTATTTTATGATTCTTGCATATTATTGGACACTGATTTGATAGACTTAGTTTTTGCAGTGCAGAAATTAGAGGATTAAAAAGGGTGAAATAGTTTGTCAGTTAGACGGCCATGTAAACAAGGTTGCATAATTCTGCTTCTAAATTGAATAGATCTCTCTGATTGCATGTTTGCTTAGGAAGTTTAATTGGTAAATCTAATTGTCCTTTGTAGGTATCAATCAATATGTAAACTAGTACCAAGATATACAACCTGTTATGGTGTCTTCACTTAATCAGGACAATCTGCTTTACTTTTTGAATGCTAGGAAGTAACATTGAAAGGGTCAGGTTTTCTTCAAGGATCTCACAGGGGGTTCACCAAGTAGATTGCCTACTGGTGACGGGTATGAATTTTTTCTTCCTTTTTGCCTGGATTGGAATGGCTCAAGGCCCTGATATGTTAACCGTAGATTTCTGTAGACTCTGGGCCGTGGATTCCTCGAGCGACATCTTGGTTTAGTTCGTGGTCATTTTACACATGAATATTTGGTTTTGCACTGGCTAGCTGATTGCTGGAGAGGACCCTTGACCTGTTGTCTCATGTATGATGTGCGTGATAGGGCAACCTTTTTCAATCACTCCCTCTCTTTTTGTTGGAATTATGGCCTATAATGTAAAAGGAGTGAGGAGAGCATTAATCATCTCTTCCTCCACTGACCTGTTGCATTCTCTTTAGCGAGTAGATTTTTTGATGTGGTGGAGATATGTTGGATTGCTCCAGATTTTGCATTGTGGTGTTCGAAATCGAGTTTTAGGCACCGTTTGTTAACATTTTTTCAAAACTATTTTTCATTTCTTTTTTGTTTTTTTAAGCTAAACAGCAATAAGTATTGTTTGATTTAATCAAAAAAAAGAGAAAGAACTTCTGAAAAGCACAATTAAAAAAAAAGTTTATTTTTCCAAAAGCGAAAAACAAAAATTTAGGCAAATAACAGTGTGACTTTGCGAAATATGTCGTGTAAGTTTTGACAGTGTCAAACACCTTCGACTCTTCTAAAACCAAGACGCGCACACACTATAATACAAAAAACACATATACACTTGAATATACTAAAACAAACACACATACATATGATGTAAAAATTAGGAAAATTTAAAATTTTATGATTTTGGGTTTGATGAAATTGCTTAGTTTTGAATTTCATAAAGGATATGATGTTGGGACATGCTATGTGTTTACATTGTGCCTTATAGGTATTTGATAAAATACCTATGAATTATTTAAGTGTATCATTTGAATTGAGAATATTATAACATGCTTAGTGATGTTATAAAATATCATTATATGCTTTATGATGTAATTGTCATTTGAGAAATTTTGAATGATTGTGAAAATTGCATTTGTTCATAATATGATCATAATATGATGAACATGATATTGTAATTGTAATTGTACATTACATTTGCATATGCACAGATAGAATCACATTTGTAGATATTCGACATCAGTGTAGGTGTGAGTGTTTTATTTTGATTAAACATCATCCTTGGTGGGTTGATGTATGGGCTCGAAAATGTTGGACCTAGGTTCAACTGAATCGCACGAGTTGTATTAAAACTATGTGTTGGGGTTAGCAAGAAGGGTTAGATTTTTCCTCAGGTGCAAGACCCAGTAATTTCAGATACGCACTCCCGTTGGTATTTAATCCATAAAGTGTGTTGGCTTATGCAGAGCTATTGACAGAAGTCCATAGATGCCGTATCGGTTGGATACCAGTTGGTGGAAGTCCATAAATACCCACCTCAAGAAAGACATAAAATTTTATAAAATGGTCATTGGATGTTAACATCAATGACGGAGACTTGGAATACCCAGATGCATACACATGACATTGCATGTGTTATGGGAGTAGGTGGAATGCTCGGGGGTTGCATTTCATATGTGAGTCCCATTTCATGACATGCCATGAAAAGTGTAGCATTTATTTATGAAATGTATGTTCTTGAATAAATGATTTATGTGATGAATTGCATGTCACATTTAATATGTATCTGGGTTGGGGAGTAGCCTCCTTAGGAGATATTCTGTTGAGTGTGACTCATCCTTTATGAGAACATATTTCAGGTGTTGGACAAGTGTCGGTGGACGGCCCTAATTTGGGACATTGTTGATGACGGAGCCAGAATGTGGCTTTTGAATTGCATTTTGTAAATCAAATGTTTAAATTTGTTTTGAACTTGTATATCGGCAATCGAGCATATAATGAAACTCTATTGAACAATGCTTTTATGTAAATGAATGAATGTGTTGAATGTTGTATGAGATTGGATGATTAAGGGTTGAAAATTGGAAAATTTTTGAAAAAATTTGGGCTTAAATACTAGTACCTAAATGAATAGGTACCGGTACCACGCTTACAGGCACCAGTACCTGAATTTTAGTGGGCCCAAGTATCAGTACCTAGACTTTTAGGTACAGCTACCCCAATCAAAAGTGGGCTCAAATACAGGTATCAATGCTTATAGGTAGGACTGTTAATCAAATTGAGCTACTCAAGCTTGGCTTGAGTTCGGTTTGTTTAAGCTTGGTTCGTTTTCTAAACGAGCTCGAACTTGAACAAGTTTTTAAACTCATTTGAAAAATAAGTCATACAAGCTCGGCTGAACTCGTTTATGTGCAAATACTAGGGTTCGGCTCGAGGTTGGCTCGGGCTTGACTTGATTTTGGCTCGTTAAAGCTCGACTCATTTTCTATACAAGCCAAACTTGAACAATTTTTAAGCTCGATTAAGAAATAAGCTTTTAAAGCTCGACTCGAGCTCGTTTGACTAATAGCCCTACTTATAGGTATTGGTACCTGATAAACAGAAGGCTCAAGTTCTAGTACTACGTACACGAGGTACCCGTATCTCTTCATAAAAACTGAAAATTTGAATGAAACTTTGTCGGGCCTTCTCCTTTTGATCTTTTTCATTTAATGATGTAATTGGTTGAATATTAAATCCTAATTGATGGAGTTTGGACCTTGTAATGGTAATACAATTAATATGTGAACAGGTTACGTGTTGGGTAGTGCTTCTGTGCAAGGGAGACTCTGCCTGAATTCTATTTCGGTTAGGATCTCAGTAAAGGAGATGTAATGATATGGTGTCGGGTTATACGACATTCTTGGGTACTTTCATGGGTTGATGGGTGATCAATGGGTTGAGAAATGACCCCTAGATTTTAGGGCATGACATATGAATACTCTAAAACACACATATACACCCTAATATATCAAAACACACTACAAATTGTCTATCACACACACAATGAAACTAAAAAAAATACACATTAATAAAATAAAAAAAAAACACCCACACACAAACTAATACACTAAAACATCTTAAAAGAGTCGGTTGGCTAAATATGCCAATCTCATCCTTTGTTGGCGAGTGTTGTATGGCTATCAAGAAATATGATCGATATTATTTGTGGACCTTCATAGGGTTGGCTCACTTGGTTGACCCTCCTTAAAAAAAACACACTAAAATATACATACTAAACATACACATTAATACATCAAAACAAGAACACACAATGTAAAACACAAAAAAAAAAAAACAAATTCACACACACACAAACACATGCACTCTAATTCATCGATAAAACACGTGCACACCCACTGATATATCAAAATACACATACTAGTACACTATACACAAACAAAAAAACTTACTATGGTAATTATCATGCCTCGATTATAATATAAAGTGTAGTTAATGAATAATCTCCTTATTATGAATAGGCTTATTGATTTATTATTGAAAATCTCAATAATAAAACATTTTATCTTACTATTATTTAATTTATTATTTACGCGGTTACAAAGTTCCAAACTAGAGAGAGCAGAAGCATAACAAAGTAAACTATTTAGAAATGTATACCATTGTGGAAGCATATGATCAAAGTTATACCTTAATTTTCTTTAATCTCAAAACCTTTGAATGATGCTCCACGTTCTTTAGAATTTGCAAGATTATTTTTAATTTGTTTGGTCAAGCGATAGTGTTATTACACAACAAGAATCAACAACATGTTTTTCACAGCACAAAAGCCTTTCAATGTTATTTAGGAAGAAAGAG